AGGTCCGTGTTGTCGCCCACAAAACACGAGGTAGCCCCCAAATGAATGACGGGGGCGGCAGTGGGACACTGCTTGGCGAAGATGTGTACGTGCGCCATAACGTCATGCCTGGTGAGCCGCTCCTCCTCAGCAACCGCATCAAAATCGATGTTATGTATTTCCTTCTCCATTTCACTTATCTGCGCCTCACTTATCTCCAGACCCAGCGAGCTCTCAGCCTTCGCCAGCCATACCCAGAGCATCCGCCATGTCGAGAACTTATTTTGGTCGCTGAACAGAAACTGCATTTCCCGGCTGGCGTACCGTGTACTCAGCGGCGACTTGTATCCTTCGTATTGGCTTCCCATTTTCTTAGATATTTATATTCGAAGCTAATCACCAAAGCAATTGCTAGCTCTCAGATGGCAGATTTATGTAGTCAAAGATAAGCAACAGGTGGTTTGAAATAGGTGCGGTGTGCTCGCTTCCCCACTTAAACAAGCTTTGCGCTGAAATATAGCTTGTTTTGCGCTGAAACTGACTTCCGGATTTCTTGAATTTAAGATTGATAATGCACAACTTTTTTTTAAATTTTTTAATGTAAATTTTCCATTATTTGCGGCCTAGAGGTGCAGAAACCTCGATGAAAACATCGATGCATCGATGTTTTTAAAGTTGCACAGTAATGATGCCTATTCATTTCTGGTATTTTTTGTGCGCTAAATGGAGTTTCCCTAGCATATTCCCCAAATTTGATATTCAGTTTAATATTACTTGCTAGTTGGCCCTCTCAGCAGCAAACAAATAATTTTATCCAATTCCTCAATCAATTTTGTTCAGGATTGGCTAGTTTTCAGAACTCTTTTTCATTGGATTGTTTACATAATAAGGTTCAAACAAAAAGTTGTAGTATTTTAACCACCAATTGCAAAAAATTAGGCACGAAATTCCCGATAAGGGCGGACGTTAGTTACCTGGGCAAGATCGAAAATTAAAAATTAAATTTTTTATCCAAAGAATTTTGATTAGAATTCAAATAAAATGAGTTTTCAGCGTTAATTTCCCAATAGTTTTTTTAAAGAATACCGGCGCAATATATCAGGGTTTATTAAAACTACCCTAATAGCCTTTTCACACTGGGGACCATCCACCATCCACCATCCATTTCTGGGATGGTCCGTAAGTTTGCCGTTCCGAAAATTTCCCAGTTATTCCACCATCCATCTGGGATGTTCCTAATTCTCACGTTTCAGTGCGGTATTTTTCGATAATGTCAAATGCAACCATATTCACAACAAAAAATCGGAGATCACTACGAAAATGTAAACAATGACAGACAGGAAAATATAAAAATAAAACAAAATAACCCCATCAGATCCACAAAGCACGCAAAAAATAAAAAAATATCAAATATATAAGCTCAGGTGGTTTTATTTCGATGTGACATCCATCTAACATAAGAATTAAGTGATGAAATTAATTTACATATATGTATATACATATATTATGGATGATTTTATTGCATTATTACCAATTGCACCAGGCACTGAGGAAACCCAATTTCTCAAATGCTTGGACACACTCGTCAATTTTCTCTGAAGTGAGATAGTTTTGGACATGTATTCCTCTGAGATTCGTTGATGAGCCTCAAAACCATCAGGATATTGCAGACGCTGTTGGCTGACACTCCAAAAACCCTCAGAAGAAGACCCAAAGTATATAAAGATATGGCGATACGCTCTCCAGAGGAATTGCAGCTCGGCAGTTTGTGTCCTCTTCCGTAGCACCCAAGCGAGTAACCAACAGGAAAGCAGGTCCCATCCTAAAACTCCTAAAAAACGCCTCGTTGTCGGGTACATCCCTCCCAAAATGTACCGAGCCGCTCTGAAAAACATAACATATATATTTGTACTTAAACTTGGTTGCTTATTAGAGCACCACAAATGACCACAACCTCCGGGCTTCAGTGTCAAACAGATATCCATTCTATTACTCCTCCTCGTCAAAGTTATCCTCATCATCATCGTCCATGTCCAACAACATGATTAGCTTGTGCAAGAATATGTTTGCTGCTGAATCACACTCACGACCATTGAAATGTTATTTATATTCATTTTATTAAAGTAAACAAATTTTCACCCACGCAATGTGAGCAACGCTGTTTCTCATGGTGGTGGATGGTGTCATGTGAATCGGTGTCACTCTCAAACCCCCCCCCAGGTGGACTCAGTGTGCAGAGAGTATTACGCGTTTTATAATCAAGTGTTGCACAATGTGTATTTAAATGCATTTTACTGGACATACACCAAATGTTATCGGGTTCAAATTTTAATTTATCGTTATTATTTAATTATTTTCATTTATGTGCTATTTAAACAATGTGAATGATTTGTTGTGGCAAATAACGCTATATGTGTATTATGGAATATGAACGAATAAACACTTTTAAACGATAAAATGACTTGCGCTGAATGGACAAGTTTGAGCTCCATTAGTCCACAACGCCAAAATATCTGCGGTGGTTGGGTTGGCTTCAACAAACTGGTTCAACAAATTCGGCGCAAGACAGTAAAGAATCAATTAGTGCGGCGCATCTACAAATAAGACCGCTTAGGCGGTTGAAAAGCGTATTTGGCATGTGTGAAAATATCCAAATAGCTATCAAATTTGCAAAGAAAAATAGCTTGTCTCCGTCTATGCGGGGACTGCTGACTGCATATGATCTACCTATGGCCTCCCCTCCGCCATACGAGTATCAAAAGCGTGGGCACCGGTGTGGTGTGCATGTGCGTGTGCCCAAGATCATGTGACTCTTGAGTACATAGTAGTACGGAGTACCGGCTTCAATATCTTGCGCAATCGACATGAGACTTTTGGCTATGAAATTGCATATTGACATCGTTTTGAGAAAAAGCTGTCATTGCCTTGCATAAATTTTATTTCAAGCTCAAAAAGTAGAAATATTTTGTAATTAACGCGCAGGTTTCAGAAATTGCGTGGTGGTTGCCACACTTTTGAGGCAACGTGAAATACCAGAGCAGTGACAGCTGTTTCTGATGTGCACGACTTTAAGGTGCCTCACGCTTGGGACACTTTCATTTTAAATGGCCATTTCAATTAGTGCTTGTTACTCTATCGGTCAGACAAATCGGAATGTTTTCGATTTGTGTGCGCACCACGTAGTTTTTCATGCCTGTAATCAGACTGCAATAATGTTGTACTGTACTGTACCCCTACACGTTGGTGCCCACAAAGTTTATTCTCTATATGGCAGCTGGTAAACTCAACCAGTAGTCTGCCAATAAATCAATCATTTCGTTGTCCATTTCTTCCCGCGTCTCATGGACTATTTTACACTTTAATGATCACCAAAAAGATCTGGATATGAATTCGTATTTAATTAGAAGTCGTTAAAGTTGTAAAAAATTTGCTCGAATTTTCCCAATTCGTTTGCTGTTGTGGCCAAAATGAGACATGGGATCCCAATCTTAGAAAACTTTGGCGCAAAGAGCTGTGTAAGTAGTTTAAACTTGCGTGTATATGTATGTACATACGTTATATATAATTTGGTATGTGAATGTATTATCTGTAAAGAATGCAGAATGGAGCCATTACTGAATAAATAGAACTTAGTGCTTTCCGAACAGCTCTATCATTTGGCTGTATGTACAATAGCTCGATAGCAAGATCAGATATTTGCAAATCATTCGTGATTGACTTTTGCACATAGATACATATATACATACAGATGAACATATAATTGTACGGACGGCCGTGACCAACGGCTGCGGTGAGCCTTGGCGGGTCCGCCTCGAGTTGCAGTTTCAATTCAAATGCAAGTACTTTAGAGTTGAGTTAGAAACTCAAGCCAAGCTGGTCAATCGCCACATTCAATCATTCAGTGACCCAGTTCAAAAACAAATTCACAACTGGCGCAGCTCTTGTTAGTTTCCTGGAACCGCGAAATGAAACCAGACATACATAGACTGAGACGCAGACACCGGGCGACAGGAGAGTGCAAGACTCATTGCGAGCTGGCACGAATTTGAATTAAAGTTGGTCCGATCACACTGGTGCTGGCTGGTCCATTGTTCTGTGCAGCATGCAATTAAAACATTGACAGGGTTTGCCTTTGTTTCTGCCACGGCATCCGATATCTGCGCATTTGCATGCAGCTGGCCTTTGCTACAAAAGGTTGGGAATCGTGGTGCACGCGGCCGCAGAGGAGATGCTGGGAGGAGAGGTGGCGGGGACTCGCCTAAGTCCACAGAACGAAGTTGAGGCTGAGGCTCAGCGCAGACAAATTCATTATGTAAAGCCAACTATTACTGTCAATTCAGTCTGTTTACATAAGTAGCTTGCAAATTGGTCAAATATGCAGTTACCATAAAAACAATTATGAGACTTTTCACGCTTGCAGCCTGAGCACGAATCTGAATTGATTCCATTGTGCTTGGGGCTCTTGGGCAAATACGACTTCGAGTACCAGCGCTGACTTTCAGCCCCAGTCTCCGCAATGAACATGTTTGTACTCGTACGAGTACCTAGTGAAATGTCGCAATAAATAATAATGAACGCGCACCGAAATGGTGACGAAACCTGTTGCGACCGTACCGTACCTGGCCACAGGAGTAGGAGTCCAGATCGATCGATGACTTAATGCAAAGGTTCCCCACAACTGGTTGGCCATGCGCGGACAAAAAATGCAAAGCGTTCCACTTATATGTAGTTATAGTTCACTTGCTGCGAGTAGCCGGTTAACATGAATGTGTCCACGATGTCGGTGCTAGACGCTAGACTCCAATCACCTCTTCGGCCCCAGCTGCACTATCAAGACCAGTCTGTATGTAGGTTACCGGAGAAACAGTGGACGGGTGACATACTAAACTCTGTTCAATACTCAATTTCAATCGACAGCATTTTGGCAAACTCCATTGTCAGATATCAATAATCAATGGAGAAAACATAAAATACCCGCTACCCAGATCGATACCCTGAAATATCGTTACTCTCAATTCCAGATGAACAGTGCACGAGAAGTACTGATTCTGACCCTCTTGGGATTCTCCTGCACCACACTGGGGCGCAAAGTTTCTACGGGCTACCATATTGTGCACAGCCAGCCGTCCTATCCCAACTTCCATGGATTCAGCTATCTTCAGGGCTCAGCTCCGTACATAACTGGGTAAGTTCACGATGCAGTAACTAGAGCTGCAACTTTTCGGACTCCCGAGTATTTGTGCTATTTATTTACAGAAATGGACTGCCAAGTGCAGCAGGAGCTACCTCACCAGCCCCACAAACACCATTTGGATCGGCAGCTGGCCCTCCTATTACTGCCTATGGCTACAGTTTTCCAACTCCGGGTCAAGTGTCTTGCGCTCAATCCCCCGCAGTGTGTGAGAAAACAGCATATCGTACATTGGATGGATCCTGCAACCATTTGGAGCAACCCGGACTAGGAGTCGCAAACAATAGGTAAGAAGCCCTCGACGCGCTCCGACTTTCGTCAGGCTGTCACATTTGCTCCCTAGGTATGGTCGTCTGCTGACACCTAAATACGCTGACGGCATATCAGCACCTACTCGATCGGTTACTGGAGACGAACTGCCCAGCGCTCGCCTAGTCTCGTTGGTGGCTTTCGGGGAGCAGGACGTACCGGATCCAGAATTTACGCTCCACAATATGCAGTGGGGCCAAATCATGACGCACGACATGAGCATGCAAGCGGGTGGTACTCAATCAAGTAAGTGGCTAGCTAATGATTATAAGCCATTCTAAATTTCTAATTGACTCTGCTCCCCCGCAGAGAAACATCCGACTCGCTGCTGCACGGATGATGGCCGCCTTATTGGTCTAGACACGGCGCATAAGACTTGCTTCGCCATCATCGTACCTCCACACGATCCGGCATACTCCCAGGTGGGCACTGAATGCCTCAATTTTGTCCGAACACTCACAGATCGTGACTCGGGCTGCCAGTACGCGGGCGGACCTGCAGAGCAACTGACCGTGGTCACATCATATCTGGATCTATCGCTAGTCTACGGCAACTCCATACAGCAGAACAGCGATATTCGAGAGTTCCAAGGGGGTCGCATGATTGTGGAGGAGCGCAATGGAGGCAAGTGGCTACCACTATCCCGCAACGTTACCGGGGACTGTGATGCAGTCGATGCCAGCGAGGTCTGCTACAGGTCCGGCGATGTGCGTGTCAATCAGAATCCCGGCCTAGCGATCCTGCAAACAGTTCTTCTGCGCGAGCACAATCGAATAGCCGATTCTTTGGCAGCACTTAATCCCCACTATGATGACCGCACACTTTTCCAGGAGGCCCGCAAAATCAATATAGCCCAGTACCAGCAGATAAGCTACTATGAGTGGTTGCCGATTTTCCTGGGGGGCGAGAATATGTTAAAGAACCGGCTGATCTACAAGGCCCCAAGTGGCAGCTATGTCAACGACTTCGATTTAAATATTGACCCCTCAGTTCTGAATGAGCACGCAACTGCTGCCTTTAGATATTTCCATTCGCAGATTGAAGGCAGATTAGAGTAAGTACAACTTTATACATTTTTTGGTAAGCACATACATATGTACATATACAGGCGACCATCTGTATGCTCGTACTTGAAATACGAATATTGTATGTAGAGATTTTCAAATCGCAACAACCATCAATAACTAACTAATTATTGCCAATACGCAATGTATAAAACAAAAATTTCAAGGGTTGGGTGAATCTTTGAAAATGATTTTTGTCCAAACCATTTGCTACAACCATTCTCCCAGTACAGGACTCTATACCCCTCTATACTCTGACCTTGGTAGGCGTCCTAACTCAGAAACGAAGCTAATATCCAATTGAAACTTCCTACGCCAATAATTTTGGCCATGAATCGGTGTTTCGCCCACATATTCCTGTAGTTGTAATATAGTGAAACAAGAAACAGTTTTTTCAAATTCAAAACGACTTGCAGAATTCCCTCAGTATTTTTATAATTTTGTTATTGCAATACGTAAGCTTGCACGCATAACTAACTGATTGGATAATGATGCTTCCAGCCTTTTGTCAGAGATGCGAACAGTTCTCGGCTCACTTACCCTGAGCGATTGGTTCAATCGTCCCGGCATCATTGAAGTCGGTGACAATTTTGACTCTCTTACCAGAGGCCATGCCACACAGCCCGAAGAGTTGACGGATATTAACTTTGATAGACAGGTAAGTACGCATTCACCAACGAACAAGGCACTGAAGTAACTGAATTCCTTAAAATAGATCAAGCATTTCCTGTTCCGCCGAAACATGCCTTTTGGTTCCGACCTCAGATCGTTGGACATACAACGCAATCGTGATCATGGCCTTGCCTCATACAACGATATGAGAGAATTCTGTGGGCTGAGACGAGCTCATTCGTGGGAGGACTACTCCGATTTGATCAGCGTCCCCATAATTCAAAAACTTAAGTCGCTTTACGATAGCCACGAGGACGTTGACCTGACGGTGGGAGGCTCATTGGAGGCACATGTTGCTGGAGCTTTGGCAGGTCCAACATTCCTGTGCATCCTCACCGAACAATTTTACCGAACTCGCGTTGGTGATCGATTTTTCTTCGAAAACGGCGATAAGATCACCGGCTTCACCCCTGGTACTTAAACAGTCTCCAATATAGATTTCCATGCAAGATTTCCATTAAACCTGATTATTCTTTTCAGATCAACTTGTCGAGCTTCGTAAGGCAAGTATGGCGCGTTTGCTGTGCGATAATGGAAATCACATTGCTTCAATGCAGCCTGAAGCATTCAGGACCGTTTCCGGATCGTAAGTAGAATTTTCGAATTTGTACGCAGGTCACTCATTAATGTCATAATTTTGCTCAGGAATCCTATTATGCCGTGCACAAATATTCAACAAATCGACCTCACCAAGTGGGTTGATCAAAAGCCATATGCCACAGCAGACCCATCAGTTCATTATGGAAGAAAATGATTTGGATATTTTATTAACTAGTTCAATATAAAAAAACACCTCTAGCCTAATCAGTATAATGATCATTAATATGATTGCCCTGTATCATATCCCCCCCCAATTGATGTACAGAAATAAAACCTTTACCATTTAATTGAAGTTTTTTAAACTGTTAGGGTGTAATTGAATGCAGACTCCATTTCATACCACAGGCTTCCGGAAATTTCTGCCTTTATCTGTAAGTTTTTGTAAGTTTCCATCATTCCGAAACCTGTAATTTTCGTCAGTCAGGCTCCGGCTTTCACTTTCTCAAAAAAACGGAAAGTTAAAAGGCATACACTTCCGCTCCGAAATGAACGCGGATTTTTATACAACAAAACGAATCTTAATTACAAAATGAAAAATATGACTGATTGATGCATTGACATGGAGTTGACACCATTTCGAGTATTCAGCTCTGACTGCGTTCGGACGTAAAAAATAGAAACAAAAACACTAAGCGTTTTGTTGGTGTTGCTCCGAGCTGTGAGCAGTTAAACGTTTTGCAGAGCAGCATTCATATCGGTATCTTTTCTACCGCGACGGAGCCAGAGGCGGTGGTAATATTTGTTGCCGAAAAACTTAGGGTGCCGGAAGCGAAAATATTCTGTGCGAAGCTGGTCAACCGAGATGCCGATCTATCTTTGTTAACTTCAAAGTTGGGGCCCCGAGGCTCCATTCTCTGCTGTCTATCGGTAAGGGTTTCCCGCTTTGCCGTTAGCTGACTTGACGGCAGTAGATCTTCGCGCAAAGTCAGAAAGGTCCAGTTCCGTCCACATCAAAAAACCCCCAGTGAGAGGCGCCTCTGGGCTCATGATCGCCGCTTTTCGACAAAACATTCAACCTACCTGCACTAAATCTGCCTCTTTGCTCATTTATGATCATTTTTGTCATTCGACGCAACAACAATTAAATATGTATTTTTTGCGCTGCTGCTGGATTGGATTGCGATTCTCTTGCTGGCGATCTCTCTCGACTGCGTGAGTGCTTAACGTCATCATCACAATAACAAACGCTACAAATAGTCTAAGTTTAAATGAGCCTGATTGTTGAAAAAGTCGGAAAATTGTGTGGAAAGTGTTACATAAATTTTTGATTTGTGTGTGTTTGTGTGATTAATAATGTAATATATTTATACAGATTAATATTATGCCGCGACGAAGAACATCAAATCTTTCCCAACGGAGCCGTAATGCAGTTAGGCTACGGAACAGTGCGAATCAATTAACTGATGAAGAACGACAATTGCGCCGCATTGGTGAGGCACGATATAGGGCCGTTGTTTGTACTTCTCAAACACAAGAGCAAAGAGAGGCAGTCCGTGAAACGGCTTGATTAGAAATCGTAGAGCTAATCGCTCAGATCAACAACGAACTGCAAGAAGAAATACTTCAATTGTTAATTTAAAACGAGCAGCGTTTCTATACGATTGCACAATTGACTATAGCTCGCATCCTTTCGTTTGCATTGGTCCAATGGAAGTAGTTTGCGTGCATTGTGGGGCGTCTGGATTGTGCTGCCTTAAAGCCTTAATGACAAAGTGAAATTGCCATTATTGATTCAGCCACCAGAGCCATTGAATTCCTTGCTTCTGGGCGAAACACCAGAATCACGACATTTTCTAGCGAACACTCAAAAGTACAATGGCTGGGCGAAACACCAGAATCACGACATTTTCTAGCGAACACTCAAAAGTACAATGGCTGTTTTCAAATGACTTCATTTGGAGAGGAATTCCCGATAGAACACGGATTTAACCCAACATTCAAGGTAATTAATGTTGAAGATTAAATGTTCGATTTCAACTATAATATTGACTTTGCTCCGACTCACAGATTCAAGGCTAGATTCACCATCGAATTGGATCATTGCAACCTCTTGAAGATGCACAACTTTATTCTTACAAATATACTTCATGGGAAATATAAAGGAGTAACTTGAGGTGTCAAGAGCTCCACACAGCAATGAAAAGAAAACTTCTAAAAGATCTACAGCAACTGCTTCATGAAAATCATGCACATTTAAAGCTCCAACAATAGATGAAGCTGAATTCCTGATTTTTGGGTAAAACTTGGAAACACGCGATATTCTGCTTACCCGACGCAATACTGGGCAACTACAAAAAAAAAAATATGAAACACTCTCCCGCACGTTTTGGCAAGAAAACTCACTCGGAGCGGAACCAGACGTCGCACAGTGGGGCCTTTGGCCATTTCAGATTGCTAAATTAATAACTTCCGAATGAATCAAGATATCCTCATGAAATAAATTGCGTTTAAAAGAAAAAACTTTCAAAATTTAGTTTGCAAAAGTACATAGTGCTACAATATCTAGAAGCCTTACAATAAATAGTCAAAATTAAACTTAGTTGCCAGTGCATATTCTCCTATGTAAAATGTTAAATTTCAAGTTTTTTGGATCGATAAAGAATTTTGAATGGCCTATTATACTATAAAAAGTTATTTTGCATTAAATTTTTAACTAAAACGGATTTTACAAAAAAGAAAAACAAATATTTTTTTAATTGTTCTTATTTTTGGTTAACTGTAAAATATGCCTCCTATTTCCGATGGATTGGATGACATCTCTCCAATTGGTAGGCTCTGACGTTCTATTCAAATTTGACAGTGTGCCAAAATTTTATGAAGCGTGCAGTCTCTGCAGTCTGCGAGGCATATTTACCAAATTTGCGGGTGTTCATTTTGTCCTTGCAGTTTAAAATATTCAAAATTACAGCCAATCTTTGGATAATGTGTTCATCCACTCCAATTATTTTTGCTGTAATTTCGTTTTCCTTAAAGAATTTCCGGGATGAGTTTCCATCGTTTGTGTTCCCGTATCCATATTTGGGGCAGTCGACCCTCAGTCCAAGTTTCGCAAAGAATTCGTTTTAAAATAAGCTCCATACATCTTATTCTTGCATGGGGAAATGCCAATTCCAAATTTTCCTCTTCAATTAATGAATCATCCAAGTTTTGAAAGTCCTTTTGTGTTTTTTTGCAAAACGCGCATGTCAAGGTCGATTTTGTATTTGTTAGTTCGTTTAGAACTTATCCATCGATCATAGTAAGGGCAAATTCATAGTTAACAGTAATAGTTGGACCATCCTTGAATTCCAATAATCCAGGAAGCAACGTAAGACTTTGTGAATGTTCAGCAGCGTGCCTGCCTACTGCACGCGTTGGCGGTGGACATCAGGACAAAGCAGAAAGCGTGGATCAGGGAAAGTAGCTGGCAGACCGCAAGTGCGTGGCGTTGGAAAAATCAGGGAGCAAAATTTCTTCGAGAAGCAAACGAAGAAAATTCTTAAATTGGCTATTAGGGTGAGTGGCAGCGGAATATTGCAAGTCGAGACAAGTCTGTTCCCGAATTTCGGCTGGCAAAGAGGAATCGACGAACAACTTGAAGAAGCAGACAGACAAAAATTTTGTTGTTGTATTGGGAGAATAACAGATTGCATTTGGAAATCGTGCTGTTGTTTAACAGAGTCATAACATAATAAGTAACATAAAGTTTGAAGAACGGAACCTGTTATGTTTTAAGGTCTAAGAAGCGCTGAGATTCTAAAACTGTATTTCGCCGAGCGAACGGCATAGATCCATTTCTTATTCTTTTATATTGTTATAAAAGTTTGTAAAAATGAATAGAGACGAGATTTTGGCATTGGTTGTGGCAGAGTTGCGTAAGAAATTGGCAGAGATAGGTTTAAACAGATACGTAAGGAAAGCTGAGTTGCAAGACAGACTGCTGGCTCACTACGGTATTCAAACAAATCAGAATAATGATGAAGTGAGTGATCAAGTAGAGATCGAAGATGAAGTTAATGAAGAGTTATCTTTTACAACGGCAGTTTCGAATACTGCACAGCATGGTAGAAGGTAGAAAGGCGAGAGGAAAATCCAAGTGGATCGGGTCCAAGACGTCAAGCAGACATTTTTAGTTCAGGTAGATCCTGGTTTACATTAAAAGATGTAGAAGGCAGTGTGTCGCAGTTTTCAGGTGTAAGCTCGCCAGACGTATATATATAGAAGAACTTGAAGAGTGGGCGCTGACGGTGGAATGGAACCGATTGCAGGTGTTCAGGTGTTTATGCAAAACAATTGCTCAGTGGGGCGGCGAAGTTGTTTGTAAGGAGTCAGCGCGATATTCGTGATTGGAATGCTTTGAAGAGTGCATTGAGCGACCAATTTTGTGTGAGTGTGTCATCAGCGGAGGTACATCGTAGACTAGGGAAGCGGCAGAAGAAAAAGAACGAAACGTTGCACGAGTATCTGTACGCTCTGATGCAGTTGGCAAAGCCGATCGATATGGAGGACGAAAGCTTAATCGAATACTTTGTTAACGGGATTCCAGATTCTAATGCAAATGAGGCTTTACTGTATCATTCTAGGAGTATGAGGCAGTTAAAAGTGCAAATAGAGGCACACCAAAAGATGGTAGGGACAGTGAGACCGCAAGGGAAGTTTGACTCGCAATTGAACAAAGGAGAAAAAGAGTTAGTGAAAGGTGCTGAAAAGTTTAAAAAGTGTTATAATTGCTGAGATGACTCGCACACTAAACGGGATTGTCCAAAGAAAGATAACAGGTGCTTTAGACGCAACCAGTTGGGACAAAGGGCTGCTCAATGCAAGGTCGAGATGACAGTTAGACAGGAAAAGGCAATCAATCTAGTTCTGGAGAAAGGTATGACTAAGCCATCAAGCACGTTCACGTCTTAAGGATTAGAGTTGAAATCGGTAAGGTATAGAAGAGTAGTGTTTAAAGGACTAGTCGATACACGTGCCGACTTGTGTCTATTACACAGAAGTGTTTTTTTGAAGATCGGTAAAGAAAAATTGGCAGTACGTGAAAAATGTCTAACGGGAATATAGTATACAGCGTTTGGAACACAGAAATGACAATATGAGTAAACTGGAGTAAAGGTACATTATAGAAAATGGAACTATAACGCCCAGCGACGAGAAAACGCAGTGTGTAGCAAACTTTCCTAAACCTAAGGATTGAAAGGCTATACAAAGATTCATTGGGTTAACATCGTATTTCAAAAAGTTCGTTGAAGGATTCGCGTTGATAGCCAGGCCATTGTCCGATTTACTAAAGAAAGATGCTAAGTTCGAGTTTAAAGATTTGCAGCAAGTAGCATTCGAGCAATTGAAAGCAGCTCTGACGAGCAAACCAGTGTTAAGATTATACAATCCTAAATGGTCGACAGAGATACACACGGACGCATCTAAATTGGGATTTGGAGCTGTACTATTTTAAAAGTACCCAGAAGATGGTCAGTTTCACCCAGTGATCATTACGGACTGTAACGCATTCGTGATGACAATGAAAAAGAAAGACGTTCCATTAAGAGTAGTTAAGTTGGCGATGTATCTGTAAGATTACAACTATGTAATAGAACATCGTTCTGGATTGAAGATGCGACACGTAGACGCACTCAGTCGGGCTACTTGTTCCGTGTTGACAGAGACTATGATGCACAGGCTTAAGGAAGCACAGTGTGCAGATGGATGGACCAAGGTAAATAGGAATCTGGTGGAAAGGGATACGAGGATAACTGTATAGCAAACCAAGTACCGTTTTTAAGACCCACACCGAGAGTTGATAGTAGTTCCATCTCAAATGGAAACGGAGATAATACAGATTGCACGCAGGCAGGGACATTTTTCAGTGAAGAAAACTCAAGACCTAGTAGAGAAGTCTTATTTCATTCCTAAGTTAAAAGGTAAAGTAGACAAAGTAGTAGGCGGTTGTGTGGAGTGTATTTTAGTTAATACCAAAGCAGGCAGACAAGAAGGATACTTAACGCCCGAGCGCGCGGCTTTCACATCGCATTTATTCAAGGAGTACTGTGACAAGCAGAAGATACAGCATTTGTTAATACAGGCTACAGGCGTACCCCGAGGAAATGGACAGGTCGAGAGAATACACAAGATAGTAGTACCGATGATGTCTAAGATGAGTTTGGAAAGTCCAGGGAATTGGTATAGGCACGTGGGTAGAGTGCAGCAAATGATTAATAATATTGAGCGCTTAAGGAAAGAAGCTAGGGACAATATTCAGTCATTACAGAAGGAGAATAAACGAGCCTTTGATAAAAAGAGACAGGACGAAAAGGAATATAGGATCAACGACTCAGTTGCGATCAGGCGAACCCAATATGGTGTAGGTTTGAATTTGAAGGGGAAGTTTCTGGGGCCCTATAAGGTAGTCAAGGTTCACAAGCATAGCCGGTATGATGTAGAGAAAGTAGGAGAAGGTCCTTTTAAGACCTCTACAGTTGCGGAATTTATGAAGGAGTTCGGGTCGAATGTAGGATTTGGTGAGAAGCCACAGAGAGCGACAGAGTCTATTAAGCTAACAGAACCCGTAACAGATATAGAGACCAGAAGCGGCCGTCGAAAGAATAAAGGAGAGAACGAGAGTTCAACGATCGACGCCAGTTAGTTCGGTGCCAAAGTCTCTCTCAAAAACACGCAAAAGGCAAAAGCGCAGCATTCTATTGTATCCAATATCATAACCTCGTTTTAAACATACACCCATTGTAACCAGAGCAAATATCTAATAATAAAACATTAAATATATTCTAACAACTACGGAAAATCCGGGGCCACATAAATTTCCGTCAATAAAAAACAAATACTACATACATATGTATGTATGTTCATACGTAGGCTGCTATTTATGTTTCTGGCCTAACTATGAAAAACACACTTTGGCGTCTACAAATGGTATTATTTTTTTGAACAATATTCTTCAGGAATGGAATACAAAACCCTATTTGGAGACCTTTGAAACCAATTTGGCAGCTTTTTTGGCACTCAGAAGAAAAGATTATAAAACAGGCCTTAATCAGGCTTTTTTTCTTTAAAAAATCCATACCGTCGATTATTGATTTTTTTCAATTTTATATTTATACAGCTGCTTCTGAATCGTATCAATCAACACCTACACATCAACGGTGCCATCCCGATGCACCAATTTGGATTTCGCGAAATGCATGGAACAATTGAACAGGTAAACCGTTTAACCTCTGAGATACGAAATGCATTTGAAAGATGGCTAGATGGTTAGATGGTTTAATCCACAAAATATTACTTCCACAGAACATCCATGGAATATTGGAGTCATACCTACAGCAAAGAAGTTTCGCAGTACGATGCTAAGATTTCCTCTCTGAATATCTGAATGAAGCTGGTGTACCCCAAGGCAGCGTGGACCGACACTAACAACAACTTCGACATTTGCTGATGATACTGCCATACTAAGTCGCTCCAAGTGCCCAACAAGGGCCTCGGAACACTTATCATCTCATCTCGTGGCTTTAGAAAACTGGCTAGCAGACTGGCGCATTCACGTAAACGAGCAAAAGGGCAAGCATATCACCTTTACCCTAGACAGACAAACTTGCCCTCCATTATATTTGAACAACATGCATATTCCACAAACCACCGAAGTAATATACCTTGGTGTTCATCTGGATAGAATGCTTACTTGGCGTAAACACATCGAAGCGAAGAGAAATCTACTTAAATGTAAAGCTAGTAATCTACATTGGCTTATAAACACCCGTTCACCACTAAAACTGGAGTACAAAGTACTTTTTTACAATGCAGTTCTCAAACCCATATGGACATACGGCTCCGAACTATGGGGAAATGCTTGTTCGATTTTAAAATTTTGTGGGTTCCCATGCTTCATACTAATGCCCAAGGATACCTCAATCTCACGATATCATCATGTCACAGATCTTGTTCAATCGTTTCGCGGACAGCATAGATATTTTGTGGCACAACAATTAATTTTAAACGACCTTCTCGAAATTCTTACTGCAACGAAGGACGTCCACGATTGAATTCGCGATACCAGTTTTTCACATTGGCAATGTATGGTGCTTCATCAGTAAAAGTTTAACTAAGCAGATCTAAGCATTCTTGCCTTAAAAATCCACCTCAGATATGGTAGAAACACAGATTTTCATGTATAAATTTCATTAGATTTGATTTGATTTTGATTAGATTTATCGTTAATCAATGGAAAAGTTGTATGTAGGATTAATCCATAAAAGTCCAAGCTTTATTATGAAAATTACCATTTTACCCTAAAATGGCTAGAAGTGACCTAGGCCAGCATATTTACATATGCTAACAACTTATTAGTTGTTTAATTGTTTCGGGTATTAAGAGTAAGACTGAAAAATGAGTTACGTTGCATTTTGACTCAAATTTTCTCAGTCCATTTACTTGAACTATACCAAGATAAAGTGGCAGGCTAGGGTCTCTCGTAAAACTCATTCACAATAACACCCGAGGCGTTCTCTTACGCAATATTCGTGGATAGCTGAAGCAGAAACCTTTACACTTTCATTGACTTTGGGTCGTCTGTTCTATTCGTGTTAATCATATGTAGGCGCGCGACATAGCTAATTAAGAGACAAAGAGTTTGTTCTCTGCTAATTTTTCTCTTTTCAAGCCACATTGTTGGAACGAGTTGTAAAGTCGAACAATCGCCAACAATGAATATGTTCTTCAAACATACGTAAATATGTTCATACATATATACATATATACGGATAAACGGTAGACATTTTGAGTAGACAAAAATTTACATAAGCTAAAAGAATATCAATAGATAGCATCATTTGACTAAGTTTGCATATTTCTCTAGAGATTTGCGATGATTTCTCAATGGACATGATATAACGGTTCTAATGAATCTAGATTAATGAAAGTGATTTAAACAAAGTATTCGTAAAAGATAGCGACCCCATATGGTATAAAAGTGACAGATTGAGCAGGGAAAGGCAGCAGATGCGTTTCAACCATGAAGCTGTTTATAACGGTCTTCAGCCTAAGTAAGTTATTCACCGATAGCCACCCATCTCATCCACATCCACCTTTAACAAAACAAACCAAAAACATTTCATTTCCAGGCTTGGCCTTCAGCCTGGCAAGTGCGAAGAAAGCGGACCAAGAGACCGGAAGACTAATAACTATCCAATCACCGGCCCCGGCTCCGGCGCCGCCTCCACAGCAGAGTGTCATTTATAAGCTCCCTCCTCAGCACTACTACCCGCCGCCACCGCAGCCACAGCACTGCAACTGTCCGCCTGGACCCCCTGGACCACCAGGCGCCCCAGGAGCGCCTGGTCCAGCCGGCCCACCAGGCGCAAAAGGCCACAAAGGCGAAAAAGGCGATCGAGGAGAAAAGGGGCAGAAAGGGCACTATGGGATGCCCGGTCCTCCTGGGCTTCCCGGTCCAATAGGCCCACCTGGCCCTAGCAAGCCATCATCAAGCGATCATCATCATCACCATCATCCACCGCCAGGACCCAGCCCGCCTGTGCCGCCTCCTCCGCCACCACATCACCATCACCATCCCTATCCTTATCCACCAATACTGCCCCAACCACCAATAATAATATCCCCCATTCCTCCGCCACCGCCTCCGCCCACCACCACCGCCCTACAAAGGAAACCATCATCATCACCACAAGGGATCTAAAGGACCCCCCGGGCCCCCGGGGCCACCAGGTGAGTTAATAAAGTGCCTGTTTCCAATAACAAACTGAGAAGAGAAAAAATTAGAATTGAGTAGCTGCAGAACATCTTCAACGTCTCAAAAAATACCTAGGCTTATAAGATCCGATTGGATTTTAATATCCGTATGTCACATGCGTTCAACAGCCAGAAAGAAGCGTTCCTGACCCTTTTCTGAGCGAATCAAGAAAGCTAAATTTGCTTAATTGTTCAATTCAATATTTACCATAAATAATGTGTAAAATCGTATTATATTATCTACAGGAACGGGACCGCCAGGACCTCCTGGGCCTCCAGGAAGTTCGCCTCATCATCATCATCCACATCCTTATCCACCGCCCCCGCCGCCGCCACCACCGCCGCCACCGCCGCCGCCACCTTATCCTTACCCACCTTCAGGGCCATACCCACCTTCAGGGCCATACCCGCCTTCAGGGCCATACCCTATCCCACCGCAAATCCCATGGTTCCCTGTGCCTGTGCCTGTACCCTGGCCCTCAAAGGGCCACAAAGGTGACAAGGGTTCGCATGGTCACAACCACAACAAGGGAGGAGATCATCATCACAACCCCCACAAGGGAGGAGATCATCATCACAACCCCCACAAGGGAGGAGATCATCATCACAACCCACACAAGGGAGGAGATCATCATCATAACCCCCACAAGGGAGAAGAAGATCATCATCATCATCATCCACCATCCCATTGGCCACACTATCCCCCCAATGGAGGACATAAAGGTGAACACCCTTCCCCGCCGTACGGAGGTGGACACAAGGGAGATCCACACGACCCGACACATGGAGGGCACAAAGGGGATCATCAACACTCTTCTTTCCCGCCGTATGATCACCACCACCACGGAAATAGCGGACATAATCATAGCCATTCACACAATCACGGGGGACATAATAATCATGGCCATAATAACAACTTTAAAAGTCCCAATCAAAACGACAACGAAAGTGAAGAGCATTACCCGCGAGATGGTCTGGATGCAGATGCTGAGGTAGAGGTACAGGAAGACTTCATCGAGAATCTTAATCTTATTGACGAAAGTAAACAGGACTCGGCTGAGATCGAAGAATCTATGCACATCGAACCGACTGAATATGAAGAGTATTCCGAGGATACTGGCTATATCAGCCATGAGAACAACACACTGGACCTAAACGATGCAACTTCCTCAGTCGAAGAAATTAGTGAGGATGTATACGGAAGTGCACCAAGCAATGTTGAAATGGACGGAGATGACGAGGTGATGGTTGAACCTATTTTAGAGGATCAAATCGAGATCGAAAACTTTAATGACGATAACCAGTCCATTGAGACTGATCCTGCGGAAGAGCGAAGCATCAAACGACCAATTATCTTAGCTATAGGAACCCCACGAAACCCATTTCACCTGTACGCATATGATCACTACAACCCATGAGCCTGCCGAAAATTCGAAGGTTACCGAAAATAAATATTATTGCATATGACTGTAGATTGAACTCTCAACTGTATCTCTTTTGTTGGGGTGTTGGGATGTAATAACGCCCACAAGCTTTATTTACCTCTGCATTGTCGCCGCAGGGCTATGTTGGTACAAATGATTTAATTAAATGCACGTGTTTACAAGCTATATTGACTCGGCTGTTGATGCTGACTAACAATATCTGTACATTCATGTGTACGTATATACTGCATGGGATCGGATGAATCCTGCTGTATTCTCTGTTCTGTTCTATAGGTAAAGTCCCCAGCTATTCTGCAAGTGGAAGATGTGTTATGCTTTCTAATTAAATTTTTTCAAATTGTTATCAAGCTCAAGTGAAAAATTTAATTTAGAAGTAACTTGACTCTGTAGAGATCAGACTGTATTGTTGTGGAATTCGAGCAACGAACAAAGCTCTGCACAGCTAGCTGTCGATCCTAGGGATAGATAGTTCCCCTTGCCCGCCAAATGTAAGCAAATATGAAGATGTACGACATCTCACGATATCAAAACCGCACCCGCCGTAAGTGTGGTCAACATCAATATTATTTCGACCACCCTCCTCTGGAACGGCTGTAGCCGTCGTAATCCACGGCTTATGCCACGATTACATATGCGGGTTTTAAATATAAGCACAGTAAAAACAATTATAATTCAATTTGTTTCAAATATAAGTGTACTAAATACTTTTTTAATACTTTTTAAAATGTTTGTATTTGAAAACCTTCATATTTTATTCAAATTTGGGTGTGCTTCTTTTTACTATATCATTTTTTTCTCAGTATAAAGAATAAAAAATACATATACGGTACTTTATGAAGTCGAAAACGCTTCTATCTCCGAATTGCAAATTCTGGAAAACTCTTACACAGTCGTCTCCAGACAAGTTGCGACAGATTTAAGATACTACGAATAGGATTATCCCAAATTTAAATTATCCCAAAGAATTTTTGGTGGACTCTGGTGAATTTCGCTAATTAAAGGCAATTCCTAAGAAATAACATACGTAAATATACATATTTCTTATTTATAATATATTCAAATATAAAGGCAGATAAGACAGAATGTTCCCTTTATGGTCGGGCTTCTTTTTCAAACACAGAAAAGAAAACAATGGGAAGAAGAAAACAAAGACCAAGTGGAAACTAAAAGCGAATGAACCTTGTTTCGAATATAAATAAATGCACGATGATATATAATAAATTGGAGATGCGATGCTCGTATACACTTAGATCAACGCACGTATTTCTGTATAGTACTGCAATTAAAAGACGTTCAATCTGGCTACTTTGAATACAACATATTTTGATAATGGCTATTTACCTATGTATAATCTTGCGATCCATTGGGTAACAAACAGCAATCGGACGTTCTGCATACCCCAGTTGGTCCAAATTCTAAGCTGGAGAAATCTATACAAGATCGTTTAGCCGAAAGCGATTTGAATTTTACGTGTTTCTAATTAACCCACTATAATCTGAATCAAGCCAACTGTTTTAATGGGTCCACACCCATAAGCTATATAAGAGGGGTTCTTGCTCTAACCGGTCTACACTCGTCATCGTTAGGCTGCTCGTCACCGTTAGCATGAGGCTGCTCGCAGTTTTGCTAATATCAGGTAAGACAAACGAAAATCGGTGCTAAAAAAAAGGTGTTTCATTCTTGTACCTATATTTTAGCGGTGTCCCCTCACTGTGAGGGATCATGGTCTATCAACTCGAACTGGGCCACCAGGACGCGCTCCACCCCAAAGCCGAAAAGACAACGTGACACCTACGACCTATATTATTACAGACCTCCACCAACGTCGTCCTCCCTTTACTACGGCGGCTATTGCCAATGCTCACCAGGAAGGGCTGGGCCTCCTGGGCCTCCTGGTCCTCCTGGTACTCCTGGGCCTCCAGGCCCACCTGGTGTGGAAGGCTATCCTGGTGAAAAGGGACAGCGCGGAGACAGTGGGAAACGTGGAAAAAAAGGAAACCGAGGAAATCCAGGACCAATTGGACCACCTGGTCCGCAAGGAAAGACAGAAAAGTCTTCAACACGTCTAAAAAAGAATCACCCAACCAAACGGCAAAAGCCATCGTCTCCAGTTTGGGCCAGCCCAGCTAAAACTGAAACAACAAGTGGAAGTTTCAGTAGTGACATCCGTCTGCCGACACGTACACATTGGTCTCAGACCCATGAGAATGCCATTTCCAGTCATAAGAACATTCGCAAATCGAACCGACATAAGACACCGCGACCTATGATCTCCCATTTGGATGCAATGAAAATTCCGAGTGTTAGTCATAGATACGAGAATCGACCACCTTCAGTGCTGTGGACTAAGAAACACAAAAAACACAACCACAATCAGCCTACTATTAAAAGCCCACCTGGAGTCGTCCATTCAAATAAGAAGAAAATCAGCCACAAGAACACGGTAAGTCACAAAGTTAAGCTTTCAGCGAACCAGTCTCACAAACCTAAAGAACATTTGTTCATAATTCAGGTGTCTTCGAACTCTTCAAGCAGTAAGATCATACAAAATCATACAGAGACCGTAAACGCCATAAATGAAAGTCATGGCCAATCAGGAAGCAAGTACACTGACTCTGGGACTATCACGACTTCCAGTCCGCCATCTATAATTAATAGTCTCAACCAGGATATCAGACAAGGAGATTCTACCAACCAGCAGTCGACGCACAACATGGAAAATTCAATTACAGATGTAAGCGACACACAAACTGTCTTGTCTATAAACCTTCCAAGCAAAAAGGTGCCTATAGAGCAATATAACAGGGGAGAGATAAGCAAGCAGCCACAATTAGAGTCGTTCCTTATGGATAATGCTGGAAAAAGCGATATCTATGAATTTCAAGAGACTACCCACCCCAAGGACATAGCGGAGGACATCGTACAGAATTCAGAGACTACTATGGCTACCACGCAAATTCCACTTGAACAAATAACTCTACTTCCCAATATTTCTACCGAAAACGAAGAAAACTACGTGCCGATTCTACTTACAACCAATACTGAAAGGACACCAATCGAAATCGATACTCTTACAACGCAGTCAGCAGATGTAACCGACGGTACTTCCGTACCTGAGCTTTCCACTGATACTCTTTATAGCTTAGATGACACAGTGCGGATCACAACAGAGACAACAGAGACAACAGGCGACGAGGAGATCATTTCCACGCAGACAGAAATGTCAGAAGCAGCGATCACAACAGAGGGCTTTGCAGATGGAGTGGATAATCCCAGCACTTCATCATTGGAGCCTACATTGATCCCTGATAATGCAGAATCAACGACACCTATTGCGTCCAAGGAGGCAACAGAAAATATAACCGAAGCGGAGAATCAGAGATCGGGGTCAGAACTGACAGTGTCTCCCGAGACGGAAATGCAGAAACAAATTAATGCAGATGAGCATGGGCCTGCTGATCTGGAAAGAAAAATGGATGGTTGACTAGATGTTCGAATCGTCTACGACGACTCAACGCGAAATTAATAGTACGTATTTGCCATATATATAAACGATTTAGGGATACTACATCGATACATACAAAATGGCTAACTTATGATTCTGAAGGCGGTACAAAAAAAGCAAGCTAATTTATTCTACCAAAAACCATTCTGCTAGATACTTACGTTTAAAAGGGGATTTTCTTCACACGCAAATCGATTTATTTCGTTTCATGCATAAAAAGTAAAGAGCGTTCATAGTCGTAATGTTTATTGTTGCTATTCCAATACATAGTTATATTTATGTGCGGCGGCCGTACAGAAAAAATTGTTAAAAGGCCGCACGTACATAACTAATAAATCTCTTTTACAGAATGTAGATTATAGAACATCCATTATATTTTTTAGTAGTGGGTATCTTGCCATTTGCTGAGATCAACTTGAGGGATCTCATTGCAATTGAGGATCATGTTACTAAAAGGAGGATTAAAACAGGTTGCTAATTAATTAAGTTGAACTTATTATATTCCCGCAAACCACTTACTGATAATTTGGGAATACGAATACGTTCGGCTGGATGTCGTGCAAATAATTCGCATTGTTGCAGAACAAACTTGCCAAACTTGCCTTGCGAATCTCCGCCAGTTGCGCTGCGTGAAGATATGTTGGTGTCAGAAATTTTATTTTTATCAACCTCAGCTCTCACTTACTGCGCGAGAAACCACCACTGTGATCTCGTTCAAAAAAGAATCGGTCGCCGCGACGCGTGTTTAGAAATTGCTTGCCAATAATACACAACAGAGTCGGCCCGAAAAGTGCTTCCGGGACGTGGTACTCCAGCGAGCCACCGACACTTAGCTCCACATCATCGGGAGTTGCGTACAGCTTTCTCAGCAATGAGATTTTCTACATAGCAATGGAACATTTAATTATGCAGCCATACGTAAAGAAACCCATTACCAACCTCTCTCGGTATCTCGCCGGTCAAATCCGCCCAATCGACGGCTCGCTGCAGTCCGCAAAACTCTCGGACATCGTTGTAGGAGGCTAGCCCAAAGTCTCGGGCGCGTTGAATGTCCAATGATTTCAGATCAGAACCATATTCCTCGAAGGACTTTCGATTGAATTTGTGCTTAATCTCGCGATCGATATTCCCATCCGAACTTTTATGAAGCTGCGTAGCCAAGCCTCTTAATAATGCATCAAAGTTATCACTGGAGTCCAACAAACGAATGGTCCCAGATCGCTCGAAATGGTCACTTAGACGCAGTGTCTGGTTGGAGCTGCGATTGGGCGCAACAAGTCTGTAAGTTCACAAATATTAGTTTTAATATACTTATAAACTTGATATGCGAACAGCGAGAACTTACGAAAACCAGCCGGGAATCTGGGTATGCGCGTAGCGGAAAGCGGCCGAAGCAAACTCGGCATAAGCCCCAGCATTTACGGTTTCGTCGTAATCATTGACATACTCAGTAGGGTCCACCGGATAGATGAGACCATTGAGATAAGTGTACGTACGTCCCAGATACAGGGGCAGCCAATCGTTAAAGGTAATCTTCTGAAACTGCGCAATACTGATCTTACGAGCTTCCTGGTAAAGACGCTCGTCGTTGTAGTGCGGATTAAGAAGAGCTAGGTTCTCGACCAGTCGATTATGTTCCCGCACCAAAAGTGTCTGCAGAAGTGCGATGGTGGGTGAGAAGCGGTTCCGCCTATCTGGCATGCTGTAACACTCGCTTCTGCCGCCGCACTCACCATCCAGGTTCTGGCTCACGGGTAACCAGTGCTGGCCGTTTATGTAGCTAGTGCGGAGCCGACCTCCCTTGAATAAACGCACTCGCCGACTTTGATGTAGAGAATTTCCATACACAGATGACAGATCAAGATAAGCAGTAGAAAGTGTAAGCTTCTCGGGATATGGCGCACCGTCCTTCGGGCAAATTGCATCCGCGTCCGACACGCTGTTCGCAAAGTGGAGGCAAGTTTTTCCCGTGTTGTATGCGATGGGACCACCGCGCGGTAGAGCAATCGGCTGGCAACGATGGTGATGAGGCTCAGCACAGCAGTCTTTAGGTGCACCTTTGGTCGTCAGTTGACTGATATCGTGGGCAACGTACTGGCCCCACTGCATTGCCGCCATGGTCCTGAAGTTGTCGTTTCTCGTCTGTTCCCCATACAGTGAAAGGGAGATGAGCCGCGCATTGGGAAAAGCGTGTACTGGTTTCACGTATTTGGGGGGCAGTAGCCGCCTGTATCTAGAGACAGCAATTCCGAATTCGGGGTAAAGCAAGCTGTTGCATGATCCATCAATGCTTCGATAGTGCAAGTTGCTCGTATCATTAAGGCAATTCGGAGGCGGTATGCCACACCTTACAGGCTGCATAGAACCCGACAAGTCCAACCAACTGCTTGGACTAGAGGCGGAATTCGTATTGTATTTCGGTAGATACTCCTTCAGCAACCCGTCCAAGCTTGAGTCACTGACCGCCGGACGAACTTCGAAAGGAAAACTCCCCGAGCTTCTTTTCGACTTCGAAGTTGGATACAGCTCGAGTTCAGCTATATTCCCGTACGGACAGCTCGTGGGAGCTGCACTTTTGTCGGCAATTGCCAGGGCACCAAACACGGCTAGAACTTTTACAATTAATATTAAGCTTCTCATTGCTACCACTGCAGAAAACGCAATGCAGCCCCTTGGCCTACAGCTCTATATATAGAGCCCCACTGGTAATTTTTTTTTTATTTCGCGCACGATCTTTATTACCTCAGTACGTGATAATGAAAATTTTTCAAAAGATGGCTAAGATTAAAGAACGTACAGAGATATGAATCATGTTCATATTCGAAGGTTTTTAACAGTGGGTGGGGCACATAACGAATTCGTAAACGTAAAAAAAACGAAGTGAAACGTGTCCAATGACCGATGCATTTTCCGATATTTAATTTCTTCATAATAACGTTGGTTACAACAAAAACAATGCATTTTTTATACATCTTATGTTGAATATTCAGTCTAAACCAATACACTACTTAAAATATTTATCGTTTTGATTATCTGCCATATTAATGTACGCTGTTTATGTGCTTTTGCCAATAAAAATATTAGTTTGTATTGTATTGCTCAGCACATCGTTTTCGATTAAATTTCATTAAATGCAATTTAAGCTTTCTCAACTAATTTTAAATTATACATATGTACATATAATCATTCGTACATATATGATATTACCCACATAGTGGGTAATTTATGAATTAATGTTACTTAAAGCAATCACATTTCGACGATGTTAGATTCAAAATACAAATTTCCAAGTCAAAAGTATCTTTGGTAGAAAGCTAATTAAGCTTCCAAGTCCAACAAATACTTTTTTAAGCGGGGTGGCATTAAAATATAAGCATTTATTATGGTTTTCCATCTGTAATAATGTGCACTGTACTCCATGTACAAAGAAAACGCATCTTCATCTTCCAGCTGTGATTCAAAAGTTCTTTGTTGTCTTTCTACAATCGAAAAGCAGCTGGCCAGTAACATGTTTGGATACTCTCGATTCACATCCACACAAGCATCCCTGTGGACAAAAGCATTTTAGATGCCTTTACATAATTTTTTTCTATGTATAATCAGGCAGGCTGCGGCTTTCACTTACTTTGGCGTCTTACGCTTTCAGCCAAAAGTCATACTTTTATTACGGTTTATTTCCACCTTTACTGTTAAGCGCAAAATTAACTGCTGTTATACCCACGCGGAAATGCCTCTGGTATATTTAACAGAGGTATATCGATAACCAAATCGGGCTGTTACAGCTGTTCCGACGAATACACTATTTGTTTTTGCCTGACCACTTTTGAGGTTAGTTTAAGTAAAAATTTTTTATAAAAAGGGGAAAAGCTCAAATCTACTGGTAATGGTGTCAAATCTATGTCAATGTATCAGTCATATATTTTTAAATTTTTCAATTAAGATTCGTTTTGTTGTATAAAAGCCGTTTCGGCGAGGAGTTTGTTGCCGTTTGGAAAACGAAAAATTTTGCGTTTTATGAATGCGGGAGCGCCTAACTTTTCGTTTTGAAAAGTAAATCGGAAATTTTTTTGTGAAATTGAAAACCGGAGCCTGCCTGAATATAATTTGGAACTTACATATTTTCAATGTATTTTTCAATAATCTTTCGGATTATAGAGAATATACTTCGGCAAATTCCTGCTTCATCCAAACATATATCCACTTCTAGAGAATTAACTATGAAAAATATAATATCACTGGCGTGCTCTAAAAACCCTGTATACAGTAAGAGAAAATAAATTAAGACAAAAGGATAGTCGCAAAAAGACAAAGATATGATTTATAGACGCATCCGTAAAAACTAATCGGATGTAATATAACGTAAAAAAATCCACAATCCAGATACACGTATAAAAAAAGTACAAACCGTTCGCTGCTAGAAATTTGGCAAATTTTAGCCCTCCACGTAAGAGTTGACCATTTCCTGCTTCAAAATGCAAGGCAGCAAAAGAATTGTATGTGCCGTGCAAAATGGCTAACCTGTGTTGTACTTTAATGTCTGAAACATGAAGATAAAATATACGATATTTCCCAATTTTAATTTATCTTTACACACAGTAGCGGACAGTAAAATGTCATATAATGTGTAAAAGTGATTAATTTTGTGTTACAAAGGTTTGGTATGTTTCTCAAGCAAAAAGCTTAATAAACTAAGTAAACAATAGAATAATTTGCAGAAACACACAAAAATTTTGAGCCCAAATGACTTTGTTTTCATAATGATCCTCAAATAAAAAAGCATTAATTTTTTTATTCAATTTTATAAATTTACGAAAAAGTGTATGCTATTTTCTTGGTAGGAAAACAAAACTTTTGTTATTATGTTTAACTAGCGGAACCGGAGAACGTTGTATCGCTCTAGTTTAACACCTTCAGATAAACTTCAGATACATTAATCCAACATTCCAACATTCCAATAGCTAATCGAACGGGGAATTGATTCCTTTTGGATTGGAATGGAAGTTTAATTGGAACAGTCGTGGAATAAGGACAACCTCTTCCTTGAATTTTGCCTTGATGATCGTCGCTTGAATCAGTTTCTTGACGGACAACCGCGTACCGTTGCACAATTTCGGATGATTCAGATTCCACAACATGGCTATGATCGATCCCACCTTCAGCAGTAAATTATGCGGCGGAGTTTCTGCCGCATCAGTCCAGTTTAAAAATTCTGTGGGATAGTTTGTCGCTTCGCTGTCAACGGATTTGTATGAATGCAGCTCTCCAACGATTTGGAATTCAAGCTACCGACATCCTTTTTTTTCGCTGCTAGTATTGCGCGTTCACTAATCCAAGTTAGATTTTTATAATTTTGTGCAATGCCGGGGAACATTTTAATGATTAGTTCTCTCGAAAATTAAGTAGGGTCGTTCTGCAACGCTACGACTGGAAGAGTTTGACGGACATCTTAAATAATCTTAAATTACCTCGTAAATCCTTCATCGTTCTATTAACTGCCTCCAAAGCTCGTTTATGCGCCATAGTGCGTTTATCTTAAATAATTATATTGCATTCTCGCATTAGTTTCGCTGTCTCCGAGTCACGCAAGTGGATGACGCTTCTGATCGTAACTTCGACTAATTAAAACGAACGAAATTGAGCCGCTACGTACCGACCTTTACGTATATGTCGACGCAGTATTTCTGAAACAACCGTCGAACAACCTTGCTGAATCATTAATCGAAATCTACGCATAAAAATTCATTGCTCTGACCTTATTCGTTTTCTCCTCTTGCGTTAGATTAATAGAGACATTCAAATTACTTATTTCACGACGTGTACGTCCTCCAAGGTTTGATCGTCTAATAGCAGGCATATTATAACTCAATTGATACAAAATACAGGCTGTCCATTTTCAAGATGGATGGCTATTACTGCCCGTTCCCGTTCATAAAATTGGAAACCAAAGATACGCCAGATGGCTTCATTTGAGCTGATGTATCGGTCAATTTGGTAGCGCAAAATTTCGTCGTTTTCATTTAATCAGGAATCATTCACAACTGTAACGTCTCACCTGCCTACCCACGAACACAAATATATGAATTATCCCAGGCTAGTTGTTGGTCAGTGAGGGGAAGCGCACGCTTGAGGTTTCCGGCTTCTGCTCGTTGGCTATTTGGGGTGATGATCTAAACATGTTGACATTCTTAAACTACAATGGTAATGAGTGGACTAGGATTGAACAAATATGAACTAATACGAACAAATAATAATAAATATGAATAATTACGAGCTAATATGAATAAATATTTAAACGCGCAATTAATAGGCAATTAATCGAATTTTTTTCTCTTGGGAATGTGCTCTATAGCTAGAAAGAAGTGCTGCGCGTAAACTTTGATGGCAGAGGATGGGCTGGCGCATACCCAATTAAATCCGCGTATAAATGTTCATCTGTCCAATATACAAAAATGCCGACTTATGTGGCCAAAAAACTCTCACCCTTGTCAGGAGTCCATCGAAGAAAGCGCTTTCCCCGACGTACTGCTGAAACTTTAACAGGGAGAAAAGGGGAGAGAGAAAAAATACTGGGACAGAACAAAAATATTTTTTTAACGCGCATTCCCTGACCTCTCGCTCTCATGGATCACTGCACAAACACTTGCCCAACTGGCTGCGACACAAACGTAACGGTTAAACTAGAACATTAATTTTCTTTTAACTTAAACATAACAAAAAAAAATACACGAACTAATCACAAAAAAAAATATAATAATTTTTTGGGCATCTGATAAGCCTCGGGTGATCCACAAGGGGGTCTCTCGCGATTCCCTCGGTTCCGATAGCGAAGGGTCGTCCGACGCAGCTGTCTCACTGCACGTCCACGGCACTAACTAGCCATCCGCTAAGCGCTAGCTCTGCCTGCTAGAATTTCTGCTGATCCCCTTTTCCCTTGTTCCCTAAGCTGCTGATCGCGAGCGCGGCTGGTATTAAACGAACAGGCAGGCGCAAGGGAGATGCAAAAAAATGGGCTTGTCCGAGCTTTTGCGTGTGTTGACCGCCGCCTCCTAGGTGATGCAGCGGGACTCCTCTGCTGATTTTCTCCTGGACAGCGGGAGCGATCCGCCAACTCCGTACCCTATTTAAGGGCACCTCTTCGCGGCGTCGCCTCTGCCCAGCGATGGCTAACGGGCGCCAAGATCTGCGATGGAGTTGGAATGCGATGGAATTAGACATTGTCGCCTTCAAACTTTAGTTCTTTACTCTCACCAATTCGACGAAATTCTATCCGAAAATAACCCTCCTCCTTTCTGGACCTTTTCACAACCACTTTGCACTTTACTTGTGTGTATGGGCGTATAAAATCGGGAGTTCTTCCACTCCGCACAACCGCACTGACTGGGGGACCAAAAACAAGAGATCGAGCCAGACGCTTCCGTTCAAGCGCCAACCTCATGGAATCGGAAAGGTTAAGGGCCACTGAGTGAAAGGCCTGACATTTGTCCCTGTTACTCTCTTTCCCTCCGAAAAATTCCTTGCCCTGATCATTCGCTCTGAGCCCTAGAGGGCGCCACCTGTTATCCCCTGGCCGACAGAGAGCGCCACCCGCACACACTCTGGCTGCTGATACAAGCGTTACACAACCTTATGTTGTATTTGAAACACAGCCATATCGCTGCCATTATTCACATACTTGCAAACGTATTTGACAGATTTCACTGAACTGCAGAACTCAACATTAATGTGAGCATTGAATGTTTTGCTCAGCAGAGGAGAATATGGTACTATCCATCGATTGTCAATGTCTACGTTGTTGATTTTCATCATGAAGGATTGTCCACCATTATCAATATTTCTTCTTCGATGTATCGGATATCCTTCGACTTATTTTATTGTATCAGAGGTGAAATCTTTTGGAAAACGCTTTGTACATTTTCCATCTTTCATGCAAGGTGATATGCGATTCAGATTACCGCATGGGCCATGAATCATGTTTTTGGTAACTATATCGAGTAAACGGATCTGGAATTTCCGCTGAATTTACACTATTTATTTCCCCAGGGCTTATTTTGTCAACTAACCAAATTAAAAAGTGTGAATGCGGTAATCCTCGCTTTTGCCGTTCAACTGAATACATTCAGCATTTTGTTTGACCGAATACGTGTAATTTTGTAATGAGGCAGGATCGGGCTTCACTTTCGCAAAATATTTCCGATTTATTTTTCGTACATGTCGGAAAGTTAGGTGCTCCTTCAAACCGGCAACAAATTCCTCGCCGAAATGAAAAATAAACGGCTTTTTATACAAAAAAACGAATCTTAATTTCAAAATTGAAAAAAAAAAATTTACATATTCTATGTCGTATGAATTTCAGTCGTTCACTCTCTACCTTGCGTACATGTCGACAATAAATTGTTGGCACAGCTCATCGTTGAACTGACTTTCTTTTTTGTTTCGACTCCTGTTGCGGGATCTCGTTGTTTAATATTGATACAGTATCCATCTTGTCCCTTCCAGAAAATTATTGGATATAGTAGAACCAAAGACAATATAAGTATAAGATGCGTAACGCTCATACATTTCAATTGCCATATGCAAGACAATTTTGCGGCCAGCGACGAAATTCGCGCCATCTCGCTCGCACAAATTTGAGAGCGTGCGAATCTAAAAATAGAATCCGCTTGCATGTGTAAGTACACACAGAACAGCAAGTACGTATGTGTGCGACCTTGTGCTAAGCGGACGATTTTCGAGACGGAAACCTTTTTACGAGTTGAGAAACGAAATTATATACCGGCGTTGAATACGTCGCATCCTGAATACCCTAATGGCAATTATTCCAATGTGATTCATGGAATTTCATGTATTAAATATATTATGTATTTTTATATATGTATATCCGATCATTATTATCGAATATACCATCTGAAAAGAAATTATCATTGGAGGGATATATACATATAATACATATATGAGTTTTTTAATATTGGGGTGGTAAGCGTCCTGCAAAATTAACTTACACTTATAAAGTGAAGGGTATATTTCGACAGCGCTGTAAAAAACTTATGCATGTGCACACATACAGTCGTCGCGACGACTCGGCTCGGCTGTCGCATCGGCAAAGAACCAACTTCGTGTGCCTTCGTATGCTGTATGCATACAAGAGAGCGGCTGGCTCTAGAGCGCTCTCTCTCTCTAAAAAATTTCAAGAGAGCCTGGAGCCAGCTCTAGAGCCAGCCCCGAAAATTCGTGTGCAGAAATTTCGTATGGCGTTACGCATCTTATACTTATATTGTCTTTGGTAGAACTTCAGATAACACTACCCGACAGCATTTCGCCACTTCGAACCACACAAATTTTTGTTGATAGATTTGGGGCTTTAAACATGCTTAGTAATAGCTTTTTTTGAAGAATTTTTGAAAACTGTTGTACCCGTACTGAAAAAAAGAGTATATTGTAATTGTGGTAAAAGCGGATGTGTGCAACACAGAGGAGGAAACGTTTCGGACCCCATAAAGTATATGTATATTCTTGATCAGTTCAATAGCCGAGTCGAAATAGACATGTCCGTCTTTCCGTCTTGATAAGCGCCTATATCTAGATCAAAGACTTTAAGAGCTAGAGCCAACAAATTTTGTTTCCAAACTCATATGATATCACACTGCAACAAGTGTATTTCAAAATTTTGCCCTGCCCCCGTCCGCCAACACAAAGGACGAAAATCTGTGGAAGGCACAATTTTAAAGATACGATAAAACTAAAAACGCAGTATAATTATAGCCAGAATGAAGAAATTAATTTTCAGTTACTTCTCCCGCCTCCCACAGCACCCTCATTCTCTTTCTCGCTCGCACACACTCTGCCATGTGCAATGCGCGAGCGCCCTCTAGCGGAGGAGATGAAAAATCTAAACGGTAGATGTATAATCTACATTTTAGATGTAGAATATACATTGTAGATGACAGATGTAACAAATAAAATGTTATATACTATTTTTAAAATTTTACATAAATCATAATCTCATAAGCATGTTTTGCTCTACACCCTTTTCACGCAGGACATGCGGAAGCCTGAGGTTGTCCGTATATCCCAGGCCCCAGGTCATCAAAGTCGCAACATTTGCAGACGACACGGCCGTGATGTCGAGCGCTAGTTGCGTCTGCGATACAACCGAAGACCTACAGATGTACCTCAAAAGGTTCGAGAACTGGCCGTGCATGTGGAACATTTGCATGAATCCGGACAAGTGTGCAGTGGTCACGCACACGCTCAGACAGGGAACGTGCCCAGGAGTATTCCTCCCTGGCGAACTGGTGCCCCAGCTTAGGGGATATAAGTACCTTGTCGTCATCCTAGATACCCCCCTAACCTAAGCTACATCAAGAACGTTAGGGGTAAACTGGAAAACAAGGCCAGGAAGATATGTTGGCTCCTGCAAGCTAACAACAAGTTTAACATCTCGAACAAAGTACTGATCTACAAGGTAGTCCTGGTAAGGAGTCTAGGATCCGCACCTTCCAGAGCAAGTTCCTACGGAAGATCACTGGTGCCGAGTGGTTCGTCAGAAACGTAGACATCGCCAGGAACCTCCGTGTCCCCCTGGTCGGGGATGTTAAATTAGCAGGCTGAAAGGCACTTGGCCAAGCTAAGGAGTCACCCAATCGTCCTGGCAGGGAGACTTACCAGATGTCCACCCAACCGACCCAACAGAAAGCTGTAGGAAGAAACGCCGTATCGTCCACTCATAGATGTCGCTCCGTTTCATGTTAATTCCTTGTAATTCTAATTTAAGTCAATTGTTCCTTAGTCCACAGTGTAAGTTTCTATTGTAGTAATAGTAAGCTATGGATCAGAAGTAAGCTATCGTGATGTTTCTTTGAGATATAATGTTAAAATAAATACGAAGTTATCATTAAAAAACGAGAAGGAACGTGTGAGTCGCTTCTGGGGACGCGACTCTACTTATACCCGTACTCAGTCAGTATATAAATTTTTGAGCTTATGATTTTTAAGAATTTTAGAAAAAAAAAAAAATTTTACATTTTACATTTTTTTGCTACATATGATATCTACATCTACATATACAATGTATATTCTACATCTAACATGTAGATTTTACATGTTCCAATTAGATTCTACATCTCCTCCGCTAGGGGTTGCTCGCGCACTGAACGCGGCAGAGTGTGCGAGCGAGAAGGAAAATGAGATGCGTTGTCGCCGGCGGGAGGGGGAGGGGAAGCAACTGAAAATTAATTTCTTCATTCTGGCTATAATTATGATCCGATCTGATATGGGCATTTTCTACGATACTGCGTTTTTAGTTTTATCGTATCTTTAAAACTGTGCCTGCCACAGATTTTCGTCCTTTGTGTGGGCGGAAGGGGGCGGGGCGAAATTTTGAAATACACTTGTAGCAGTGTGATATCACATGAGTCTGGAAACCAAATTTGGTTTCTCTAGCTCTTATAGTCTCTGAGATCCAGGCGCTCATCAAGACGGACGGACGGACAGACGGACAGACGGACGGACAGACGGACATGGCTATATAGACTCGGCTATTGATGCTGATCAAGAATATATATACTTTATGGGGTCGGAAACGTTTCCTTCTCTGCGTTGCACACATCCACTTTTACCACAAATCTAATATACCCCTTAACTCTTTTTTGAGTACGGGTATAAAAATCAAATCAAAATTTTTCAACATATTTCTGTAATACGCGATTTAAGATCTATTAAATACTTTAGGCGCTTAAAGTTTCGTGCCAGATTGGTAATTTCACCCACTGTGCATCGGTTTAAAGTTATTTAACATGAGTGTCCACATTTCTCTGTCCGCTACTGTGTTACATGTTCAAATAATGGAATACATACCCAGCTGAGAAGACTCCAAACTTAACATTTTCTTTTCGATTTCCAAAATGAATGATATATGCTGTTGGCAAAACGAATCATTTTCGGCATAAGGCTGTGCGCATTTGGTTGTGGGCGTACTAAACAATTCAAGCTGTAATTCCCAAAATAAATATATATGAGATTTACGATTTGAGGGGACATGATTACATTGGACATGTACATTGATTAATCACTCACAATTTCCTGTTGAAGTCCTGCCATGGCATCTGACGCACCTTCACTTGCTAACTTGAAGGCATGAGAATAGGGCTGATTCAATACGCGACTCTGAGTGAGGGGCCTTAACATGTATGGGCTTAAAATCAACTCTTCTCCAGGCACTATATCCGTAGATGCAACTCCTAAAAACTGCCCCCTAGATAGAGATCTAAAACAAAGTGCAAACTATTTTTGAATCTGTTATGGTAAAGTTCCTTAGAATGTACTAACATAACCTTAATGTTGCCTGTCGTATTACTCTGTTTGAATGCCTTTAAAGTCGAACAAAGGGTGGATTTTTTTTGGTAACAGCTGTAATAATTATCCGCTTGGGCAAAATAGTCTTCAAGGAACTGATGAAAATATGTAGCTATTTTGGTGACCAATTGGCAACGCTTCGATGTGTTCATGTTATCAAGAATCTTCTTTGTTTTCTTTGAATTTAGAATTTCCGCACTGAAGAGATTTTCAGCGGATTTAATTTGATCATGCGTTAGGGATAAATGAAGTAGCCTAATCGTGTACCCAGACATTGGACTATCGTATGGTTTGTAGAGTTGAAACTGGTTTCGTGCTTTAGTAAGCATCTCATTTGACAACGCACGTTTGCGTACTTCATTGTAACAGTCTACGAAATCCGACGGAACATTGATTCCGTAATAGCTGATGGCATTTGCAGATGCACGGTCGCTCATTACTGGTAATACTGAATCATCATCCTCATGTGAATTTGTTGTTTCAACTTGTGGATAATGCAGGTCGTCTTGTTGGGATTTTAATAAAACGTGTGCACTTAACCGCATGAGAACCGCAGCTATTAATTTGATCATACTAATTTTGTTGATAGGCAGCACACTGAAGTAAGTCTGTATGATGTTGGTATCATTAAAGATAAAAACCGACAGACGAAATGCTGTGGATATCACTTCGTGATACTTTTCTGAGGTTAACAACTTGTAGTCTGGTTGCGTCGCCAAAAATTCGATAATAACCGAGTCCCCTTTATCATCTTCGTTTGCATAATGTAGTATAAAATTCCAAGCGACAAGTGGATCGCTTATTATTCTGTTGGCAGGATAAGAAAATATTATTTCACATTCACTTTGCGTTTTACTTTTCAGCAAACACAGTCTCTGGCTTTCACATTCACAAAAAAAAATTTTATTTACTTTTCATTGCGAAAAGTCAGGCGCTCCCGCACTCTTAAAACGCAAGACTTTTCCGTTTTCAAAACGGCATAAAATTCCTCACCGAAATGAAAAGTAAACGGCTTTTTATACAACTAAACAAATCTTAATTGCAAAAGGAAAAAAATTAATGACCTGATGATGCATTGGCATGATTTTGACACCATTACCAGTGCAATTGAGCTTATGCCCTTTTTATAAATAGTTTTTATTTAAACCAACCTCAAAATTAGATCTGAAAAAATTGGTCAGGGCACAAAAAAAGTGAATTCATCTTAACAGCTGAAAATGTGAAAATTGTGAAAATGAAAACCGGAGCCTGCCTGAATGTTCCGTACTATACGCACCTACCATCCAGAGACAATTCCAATATAGCCTGATTCAAATACTTTGCAGCTTGAAGAAAACATCGAAACAGCTGTGTTATTTCCAGCATTGGTATCAGGCCTATTTTGTATCCATAGCATTCAGTTTGGTGTACCTCGCAGTCCGATTCCATACATGCCTGGGTGCAATATGTTTTGTAGCGACAGCGGCTACATGTGTATAGTAGTTCTTGGTGCACTCCACACATTTCACAATTCAAAAAAGGTGCACTAAACTGGATGTACACAGGGTTCTCAACAAGAATAATTTTTTCTTTGGGGATGCTGACCCTTGCGAAAACCCCAGCAGAATCGACAGGGCCATTCAAAATTTTGCTATACAAATACGGAATTGTTATTTTTTATTACAATATATCTTTTGACTCACCTGTATTCACATGCGCTGCTGGCAAATGGTATTATCTTGCTACACTTAAAGCCATTGAAAGGCACATATGTATTGAAGACCGGTTTCCTGATAAATTGGACATTCCGAGTTTCTTGGTTTATTTCTTTCTCATATTTTTGTAAAACCGACCAAAAAGATGCAATTTCTATAACAAAGAAATATTCAAGCATTGAGAAACTATACATTTCGGTATCTGAAGTGGATGCTCCCATTTGTACATTTTTTTTTACGTGGACTGATTGCTCCCGTATCAGTTCTATTGACTTTACTCTCTCTCTCTCTTTGCTTTTCACTATGTGTGAATGAGCAGCATTTTTTAAATTTAATAATATAATCTTTAAGTTGTCAAACTCAAATATAAATTCTGATATTCCACTTACCACTGGTTTTAACTGTAGATGGCAAGCGATCTAAATAAAAAAGAGAATCATATTACATCTGTATATAAATTTTAAAAATGAAGAACGCCTTAGTTCCATGATATAATGCTTCTAATCAAGAGTGTAGGTCTTGCTGTTTAAAAATGTTTTCGCACCAGCATACGACTGAAAAAGAGCTTTCGCGACTGATCGATCCCGTGAATCTAATGGCAAAATAAACGGCAATGCGTGGACACAGTGAGTCAATGCTCCTCGGGCAAGAAAATGGAGAAACAAAATACATGCAGTGTGCAATGAAGTCTCACTGATAAGGGTTGTCTTCTGTTGTTGTTTCATACAACTACGCCAGGGGTCGGCGCGGCCTTATCTCTTGTGCTTAGGAAAAGCCGCTTCTCACCTACACGTGTGTTACAGTGGTTGGCACCAATATAATGTTCCGTTTCGCCTGCTGTATTGCATTTGATTGTGCGCGTGCCGACCCCTGATCTACGCTTATTATAATTATACCAATCATATCCTTTAACTTCGTTAATATATTCTTTGCCGCTTGGTTATCCCGAGTCATGTACAAAGCCAAGCACAACAACGATTGAGAGAGAACAATTCCGTCAGTAGTCTTCATTCTAGAATCCACGGACTCATAATATAACAGGTCTTTGCAAGCAAACTAAGAAAAGAAAAGAAAAAACGGAAACTTTTTATATTATTGTGTGTGAATGATTAGTACTTTCACGTACACTCCTCGACACTGGGATAGTTCACCCCGTGAATTTTCTGTTACTCATTGCTCAAATTATAAAGCATTTTGTTTTCTTTTTTTAAATTAAAGTTTATTGAATGATTGTAATTTGACCAAAATGAAGATTTTGTTCTAGTACTTGAAGTATTTATTAAATATTATTAACGAAAAATGGAAAAATTCCGGACATAATTGAATAGTTGAATTGAATAGTCAACCAAAGCAAAGTGTTGGCAAGGAGTTTAAGTATTTTTAGCCGAAATCCAATTGAAATGTTGACAGGACCTTATTGGCCCATGCTAGGCTGGCGCAAAAGGCCGTAATTCAAATAAAAATGATTAAAAAGTAATTAGTAAACCCCAAGAAACATGTAGAACATGAAACTAATTTAGGTTTTGTTGTTTTTCCATTTTTTTTTTTTAAACACAACTATTTGAACACGATTTCATGGGATTTCTTCGGTTTCAATTGCTTACCTTCCAGGAATTCATAAAGTAGTCATTGGAAGACTAGAAATGTCTCAAAAAGACTTTCAAATTGGGGAATTACTATTACAGGTTACTATTTCCATTTTTTTGAATACAGTACCGCTGCAAGAATACGGCTATAACTTGAAAGATAGTGACTTACATATACGCATAATTAGCAAGTGAGATACTAAGATACTTACCGAATAGCGCTGGTTTCGAATAGAATGCAAGCTTCGCGCCAAAATTGCATCTACAAAAGCAGTGGTGTTGCAAGGTACGCGGTATATAATTTTGTTCAGGCACTGGAACCCCTAAAATGAAATTATTTGATTTTGTTGGAATATTTGCAAAGTAGACTCAAATTCAATCTCGTTTTTACCTTTTTGGATATTTCAGTGTTACTCGATTTCATGCAACAGTCGGCACTGCTTAATAAACTTGAAGACGTTTCGGATAAAAGGGAAAAGTACTCATCTGTCTTCTTTTTCAAAACTTTTATAAAAAGTTCGGATTCTCTAAACGATATATGGAAAATTGGATTTAACTCCAGACACTATCAAAATCAAGAGCTGAGTCGAAATTGTCGCGTACGTTTTTATACCCGTACTCAAAAAGAGTTAAGGGGTATATTAGATTTGTGGTAAAAGTGGATGTGTGTAACGCAGAGAAAGAAACGTTTCCGACCCTATAAAGTATATGTATATATACTTGATCAGCATCAATAGCCGAGTCTATGTCTGTCTGTCTTCTTTGGTATCCAAAATTGTTAAGTTACGAAAACCAAATATGTATGTACATACTTCCTTACTTCAACTGTCTGTTATATTTTCAATATGGGTACGTGAATAAATTAATATATTTACAAATTTATTTATGTATTTTCTTAATACATATTTATGTGCTTAGGTGAACAAACACACAATGCATTTACATACATATGTATAAGATAAAAATGTTGTCTGTACGAAATAAGATGTAATAAAAGGCACACACACCACACTAATGCCAATTTTCATGACGCCAGATTTCTAATCATATGCACTTCCAGCCGACCGACCGACTTGCTCTCTGTACGAAAACTTAGAACAAACGACAAAGAATAGTGGATCACGCATCCATCGTCGAATTGAAGTTTCTTTCCCATTTATATTAACATACAGCTTCGTAAATAGTCTTTATTGTCTTACATCAGGTTCCGAGGACACATCACTTTTGACATTGTAACATATTCAGAGTCTTCGAAACAAGACTCTGTTACTTGGTACACATTAAATTTATGCATTTTTTTAATCAATATACGAGCTTCTTTGCTTTGCACCTGGAAACAGTTGTGTAACAACACAACTTTAAAATTCACGCGGTAAGCTATGTTTTTGTTCATGAACAAGCAAATAATCGAATATCGAACTATCATCCGATACTTGTATCGATACTGATACAAAAACAAGGCCGCAGCGAAATAGTACAGGAATATCCCATATGCACGTGAATAAGGTAGAAATCAGGTAGAAATGCCATTTATATCTTGCTTATAGTGATGCCTATTATGCTGCGTAGAGAGGAATGGCATGAGAGACAAAATGTAATGTTGTAATGTCGTTCGTAGCCGCCTCTAGACACGTATAATGGCTTTCAGTCGAACAACTGAGGCACCACTATGTGATACAAAATTATGTTTTCAGGCCATCTCTATTTTTCCAGCTAGTCAGTTCGCAAAGTCTAATGTCATATGGCCATTTCTGCTACTAAATTTCCCTGATTCGGTGGACGGAAAATTTGGTGCATCTAAGTACCACATAAAATCTCAAATTTTTTAATAAAGCCTAGTACTCAGATCCGAAATAACAGCTCGCGAACAGAATTAGATTTGATATTCTCTAGGCTCCGTACGCAAGAGGTCGGTAGATACTAGAAAAGTATCCTATGGTATTTGCTGGTTTTCGTTGGTAGCAAACACGAACGTAACACTGCAAAATGAGAACAAAAAACCAAATGAAATATTAAAATAATGAAGACCAATACAAATACAATTATATGGATATTTTAATTTACTATTTTTATTATTAAAACAAATATTGTTTGCAAAACATGTTGTCTTCACGATGGTCGGCACGGGAGGCGTTGCCATCTGCTACTGCTGATAGTCAGACACATTTCCTTGCCAATAAAATATTGGGGAACCCAGGATATGCCTGGGGAAGAGCGACCCCAGTCAAAGAATTGCATTTTATTAACTTTAAACAAAACCAAGAAGTTGTCTGAGCAGTGTAACCGTACGAAATGCAGTACACACCTCTGGTCACACCACTGGCCGCTATAAGAATATTGTTCGGGCCAGCGGCTACTTAAGCGTCTATCACAATATTAAATGTAGCTGTAACTAGTATAAGAGTATCGAAACCTAAGCTTATGTATGTCCCCAGCGTTCGGCAGTGCTGCTGCGCTCTCCCTGTTAAAGGGCGCTCTGCACCTGCTGCGTCGGCTCTTGCATTGATCGGCCGTCGTGTCCCAAGTAGTTCTATGCTAATCTCTCGCCGCATAGGTTGCATACTGAACCCCCGCTTGTGAACATTTATCTGGCTGGGCAAAAGAGCGAGCAATTGGCTTCAGCTAGCCGCCGGTATAAATAAACATTATAACGTTTAAATCAAAGTCTTTAACTGATTTGGATAAATATAGGTGCCAAAAAAGCTTGGCATCTCAAACATTGGTGACCCCGACGTGATTTAACTACAATTTTTAATCGCGTTTCGTTTAAAAACTATAAAAATCGAATAAGATATTCGTTGCTGTGCCGTTTAACGACCAACAAATACATTTTGTGCAAATAAGAACAGTTAAAGTGCAAGTTCAGTGCGACTGCAGCCGTCTAATATTCCGTTGCTTAATCGCCGATTCTCTCTTGCTCTGCGCCGCTGCAGCCGCGGCCCTTGACTTTCCGTGTCTTCTATTCTCGCTCCCGTTCTATCGCCGTCGCTTAAGCGGTCTTACATTTTCCGTTGTTTCGTTGTATTACACCGGTTGGCATGGACAAAGAGCCGAATACAGGTGCGGGCGGAAATATTGCGATGGAGGAAAAAAGGCTGAGGCTTTACAAGCGTAAAGTTCAGTCTCTGCATGATCGGCTGCAGCGTCTTGGCCAGTCATTCTCGGGGAATAAAATCGACAATTTAAGTGCGGCTGATATAGATGTGCGCCTCGATATGTTGGCTGAAATGCGTGAGGAGTTCAACAAGTCCCATAATGAGTTGGAATCACTGGATGAAGACGAGATTGGAAGTGAGCTGCGTGAAACGTTCGATACGCTCTTCATTTCTTTGAAAGCCGAGCTGCTGGCGGCTCTCGAACTAGGACATTTGCGCGTAGCTGCTCATTCCACTAGCATGCCAAATAGCTCTGGAGGTCATACCATCATCATGGCTCACAAGCAGCGGCTTCCTGAGCTAAAGCTACCTAGCTTCTCCGGTGGCTATGTGGAATATGCGGATTTTATTGCCATGTTCAATTCGGTCATCGAAGGGGATGCAGATCTCAGTGAAATCGAGAAGTTCCAACATCTTCGCTCATGTCTCTCGGATGCGGCCCTGGATTCGGTTCGATCGTTGGAGCTCTCCAGTGCCAATTATCGTGTGGCTCTGGACATACTTAGCAGACGTTTTAATAATAAACGACTTGTTTTCCAGGCACACATCAAGGAGATTCTTGGGCTCAAGAAGGTAGATTCGCATTCAGCTAAAAGGCTTCGGGAGTTTTCGGACGCAGTCAACTTGCATACGCGCGCCCTGCAGACATTAGGAAGTGCTGAGGAGATATCTGGATGCATGATAATCCACATTCTGCTGCAAAAGCTAGATGAGAAGACCCAAACCAAGTGGGAAGAGACTGCGTCATCGGACAGGATACCCACAGCTGGGGAATTCTACGATTTCCTGGAGAAGCGATGCCAGAAGATGGAGAACGTGCAATACGCTATAGCGACACACGCTGGTAGCGCTCAGGTGGGAAAAAGCCAGTCTACACACCTTAAGAAAACCTTTGTTGCCTCTAACTCTTCCGCCGACCCGTCTGGATGCCCTTTCTGCCATTCAGCGGGCCACGGAATATACTCGTGCAGCATCTTCACAAATTTATCTCCTTTTCTGCGTCACAAAGAAGTGAAGAAGCTGTCACTGTGTTTTAACTGCTTAAAATCGGGTCATCGGACTCGTGCATGCACAGGTGGCCAGTGTAGAGTTTGCGGAAGGAGGCATCATACCTTGTTGCACTTCGACTCATCTATAGCGCAAAGCTCCCCAGCTGGTTCTCCTCCAGAACGAGCAGTACAACCAGGAGCTATTACGCCGGTTCAGGATTATGCCAGCAGTTTGCCGTCTCATGCGTCTACCTCTCTTGCTGCCCAAGGTCTCCACTCCGATATTGTGCTGCTGGCCACAGCTGTTGTTTTGGTGAAGAATCGATCTGGCGTTTTGGTTCCTTGTCGCGCTATTCTAGATTCAGGATCTCAGCTTCATCTCGTTACCTCCAGGTTCGCCCAGCAGCTTCAGCTTAGGAGAACTCAATCGTCTGCCCTTGTTTCTGGTCTGGGCGATACCAGCGTGTCCACTGAGGGATCCACCGTCAGCATTTGCATGCAGTCTCGCACTTCGGACTATTCGACCACACTCACTGCTCTCATCGCACTCACAATCACAGATAGCCAACCAAGTCTGGCAGTTAATGTAGCCGATTGGAACATTCCCTCCAACATTCAGCTTGCCGATCCCGCATTCTTTAATCCTCAGCGAGTAGATCTCCTCATTGGCGCGAGCATATTCTATGACCTTCTCTGCGTAGGGCAAATCAAGCTCATAGATGGATTGCCTCTTCTGCAGAAGACCCGGCTTGGGTGGATCGTATCTGGTGGTGGACAGAGGGTATCAAGCTCGTCGCTTTTGGCAACCCAAAATTCTCCGGATTCGGAGGATAGAATGAATGCAAGGTTGGATCGAACTCTTCGTATGTTTTGGGAAGTTGAGAATTGTGCGGAGGCTAGCTTGAGTACAAAGGAAGAAGCGGATTGTGAGGCGCATTTCGTAAGCCACTTTTCACGGTTGCCATCAGGGGAGTACTCTGTTCGACTGCCTTTAAAGCATGATGCTGATCACTTGGGAGAGTCCTATACTCAGGCGTATCGACGATTTCTCAGCTTGGAGCGAAAACTGGATCGTAATCCCGCGCTCAAGGAGCGTTACTCAGCTTTTATGAAGGAGTATACTGATTTAAAGCATATGTCCAAAGTCCATCCTGACTCACGTAGCCTCTGCAAGTATTTTCTGCCTCATCACTGCGTTTTAAAGGAGGATAGTACCACGACGAAGCTCCGTGTCGTTTTCGATGGCTCTGCAGCTACATCAACTGGATGCTCCTTAAATGATGTGATGATGACAGGTCCTGTTATTCAGCCAGCATTGTTTAACATACTGATCCGGTTCCGCACATATCCCGTCGCTCTCACTGGTGACATTTGTAAAATGTACCGCTGCGTAAAGGTATCTCCGCCCGACAATTTTCTACAGTGTATCCTATGGCGAGATTCCATCCAGTCCGAGGTTCAGGTCTACACATTAGACACCGTCACATACGGTACGAGGGCTGCATCGTTTTTAGCGGTCCGCGCAATGCACCAGCTGGCCATCGACGAGGGTAATCCCTACCCCCTTGGCTCAGCTGCTCTGCAACAGGAGTTCTATGTTGATGATCTCATCTCTGGCGGCAACTCGGTCGCAGAGGTCAAGGAAAAGATGCGCCAAACTTCAAGTCTACTGTCTTGCGGTAACTTTAAGCTTAGAAAATGGTGCTCGAGTAACCAGGAGGTGCTTGATGGAATTCCGGAGGACGACGTGGAGAAATTTCTACGGTTTCATGATGGAAGCGACATTACCAAAACTCTTGGTTTAGCTTGGGACCCTGCGTCGGATCAGCTGCTGTTTGCCTTGTCCGCGCTGGACTCGAATTCAAGGCCCTCCAAGCGGTCGGTTTTGTCAACTATTGCGCGTTTCTACGACCCTCTTGGATTGATTAATCCTGTTATTGTCAGGTGCAAGATCTTTCTTCAGCAGCTTTGGAGAGAACATTTGGACTGGGATGAAAGCCTACCGACAGCGCTGCACTCAACTTGGATTGACCTGAGAAGCAGTTTGGCAAGCATCTCTCGCATTTCCTTTCCTCGTGTTGTCCATAATTCCGGCACAATTGTAGAGGTTCATGGATTTTGTGATGCCAGCATGGAAGCATATGGTGCTTGCATATATGTCGTGTCCAGGCAAGGGGAGTCGTCGAGCAATGTTTTGTGCTCAAAGTCTCGAGTGGCGCCACTAAAATCATTGTCGATTCCAAAGCTGGAATTGAGTGG